ATAACTTTCAGCTTTAATGTTTCACTACTTTGATTTCACTCGTGACTGAAGAAGATGAAGATGATGATGAAGATGATGAAGATTCATTTATGTTGATAATAAAGTTTATTTAAAAACGGCAGTGACGCCATCAGGCAGCGCCCGCGTGTGCAGATGACGCAGTTCCGCCATCTTGGCTCCGAGGCTGCGGTAGCTAGCTGTTAGCTGTTAGCTCGGTAAACGCGTCGTCGGGTTGTGATTCTGCTTCTGATTTTGTTTCCGTGAGATTAACGTGAAAGTTGTTCCGGTTCCTCGGGTCTGAACCTGAAACGTGAACCCGCGTTGGGGCGAGTGATGGACGGGGAAGAGGACGACTTCATGTCCGGGAGCCGCTCCGGTAAAAACACACAAACTGTCTTTGTTTCCCGGTAAAACGACGACGCTCCGGTAACTTCCTGTTTTCTCGTCGTCGCTGAATCTGAAGTTTAGAAACTTGATCAACGTGACGCTCAGATCAGGAGTTAGCATCGTTAGCTTGTTGTTGTGAGCTAACGATGCTAATGTTTAGGTTTGTCCGAAAAAATCAACACAACAACAATCATGTGATTCCAAAGCGATCACGTCACGAGCTTCTTTTCTCATTAGTCAACTTTAATTGATTCAAACATTTATTTAGAAATGATTGAACAACAGGAATATTAAAGCTGCGATTGTGAAATAAAACCTTCATTTTAACACGTGACCATCCACATTGAGACTGATCAGTGTAATGATCATAGTGATAGTTAGAATAAATAGTGATAATTAGAATAGAACATCTCTGGATCTCAGTAGAAACCCTTCGTGGATTGTTCTTTATATTGAGGACAACTTACTGTTCAGATGAATGTGGAGCTGGAAACGAGTTGACAAAGTAAAAAGAAGTAGATTTATATTAAAGAACAAATGAGCAGTCGAACAACCTCATGTCTACTTGACTTCCACGTGTTTGTCATGTGACTGAATCAGCAGGAAACATTTGATCAACATCTGAAGTAAAGTCCAGCTGTGTTGACGTCCTGGTGACGTCATGTGATTCCTGTGGTTTGCTGCAGGATCGGTTTTCACTTCGACACAAGATTTTATTTACTGTTTGTAGAAAATGTGAAGCTTCAGAAGATGATTTGAAAGTTTAGTTGTTTTCTGGATTTAAAAGCAGACGAGTTGATAATCTCCGTTTATTTTCCACCATGTGATGAACTGTGGAGGTTTTATGGACTTTGGTTTTCAGACTCGTGTAAAGTAGATTTTTTAATGGAGACAGATTCAGTGTTTTATGGATTTGACGTCACAGATGTTGTAGATGGTCGATGTGTCAGAGTCATGTGATCTATAGTTGAACCTCTTTAATCCTCTTCCTGTGCACGAAGTTTGGTTCACAGATTATAATTGATCCTGAAATCGTTTGGTTTTCAAAGTGAATTTTTACCTGAACGTTGGACTTGAGTTGTTTGTGGTTCTTGACCTGTTGTGTGTCCTGCAGATGACGGCGGTGGCACTCCGGTTCAGGATGAACACCCGGCGTCAGACGGCGAGGACGTGAGGAGCGACAGACACGAGTCTGAGGTCAGAACGAGGCTCCGCCTCTGACAGTCACAGATGAAGTGAACACAAACTCTTCATGGTTATTTTTTAGGACGTTTGGTTTTATTAACGAGTCCCTGGTGTTTCTGACCCTCTGCTTGTCTCAACAGGACGAGGGCAGCAATGAGGAGGACGCCCCCCACGCCATGGAGACCAGCGGGGCCGCCAGCGGCTCTGACAACGAGGACGGCAGAAGGGCCGACAGCGACTCAGAGGGCGAGGCCCCCAGGGGCCACAATGAAGACGACAAGAGTGACTCGGAGGTCGAGGCTCCTCGTCCTGCAGACAGTGACGGAGACTCCCCGGTCAAACACAGGATGAGCGGTTCAGACCACGAGGATTCGTCACCGGTCAAACACAGAGCGTCAGATCATGAGGAGGGGGAGGGGTCGTCCCCACTTAAACGCAGAGGGAGCAGCTCGGACAAGGAGGAGGGGGAGGACCGTCCCAAAGCGGCCGCAGACAGCGACTCAGAGAACGAGGACGCCAAACCTGCTGCGTCCAACCGGTCCAATGCCGACAGTGACTCTGACACAGAGGCGCCCGCCAGACGAAAGGCGGCACAGATAGACTCTGATGAGGAGGAAGAGGGGGAGGAAGGGAAACAGGAGGAAGTGGGAGGAGGAGGGAAGTGGAAAGCTGTGATGCAGTCTGACAGTGAGGACGAGGAGGAGGGAGGAAGGAGGAAGGCTGCAGCAGGAAGTGATGGAGAGAAGCAGGAGGAGGAGCAGAGAGACGAGAGCGACGACGAGAAGCCAGGTACTGACCTCAGATCAGCCCAGTCACACACATACACACATCGACCTCCGTCCACACAAACACCTGAAAACACGTCACGTGACCGCTCACACGTCATGTGGTGTAAACAGGAAGTAGATCGTCTCCTCTGCAGTTGGTTGCTTAGTGAAAACACAACCAGCAGCGTTTATTATTATTATTATTATTGTTGTTATTGTTAATTAACAAGTTAATTATTAATATTTTCATTTAGCTTCACACACGTCTCTGATTTAGAGGCGGGAAAACTCCATCAGGCGTAACCATAGCAACAGTGATGAGTTTTAAAACTAATCTGTGTTTGTTTGTGTGATGTCGTTGTGCGTGTGCAGTGAAGAGGAAGAAGGCGATCCTGTCAGACAGTGAGGATGAGGATGAGGAGAAAGCAGATAAACCAGGTGTGTTCAAATGTCTAAAATCAGTAAAAACAGAACCGAGTTTATAAACTGACGATCACATGACACCTGGTTAATAATGAGGCCGTCTCCACAAACACCACGCTTCCTGTTTCTTCCTCTTCAGCAGTGAAAAGGAGTCGGGCGGTGTCGGACGATGAAGAAAACTCGGACAGCGACGCGGCGTCGGGCGGACCTGATAAGAGTCTGGCGGCTAAACTGAGGGAGCTCGGCTCCGACAGCGGCAGCGAGGACGAGAGCTCGAAGGCCGCGGCAGGGAAGAAGGATGAGAAGGCGCTGTTCGGCAGCGACAGCGAATCCGGAGACGAGGAGGAGTGAGTTCAGGATTTCTCATCGGTCGGTGTAAACAACCCGCGAGCTGCTGGTGTGACCTTTGACCTCTGTTTGTTGCAGGAAAATGATCGCAGACATCTTCGGAGAGTCTGGAGACGAGGAGGAGGAAGAGTTCACGGTGAGTAAAACCGCCCGAAGGTTCTGTGTCTGTTTATCTTTGTGTCGTCGGTCATTATCAGTTTCTACCGTCTCTTCTCCTCCGTCCTGACCTTTGTGAAAGAAAGTTACTTCCTCATACCAGCATCTCTGGAAACCTCAGTAAATCATAAATGTGGTTTTAATTTGCTCACTGACGAGTAGAAAAGCTGAAATGTGAATATGTGTCTGCTGCAGGGTTTCAACCAGGAGGACCTGGAGGGAGAGAAGCAACAGGCCAAAGAGAAGAAGCAGCAGCTGCAGGAGGAGTCCGACTCAGACGAGGGAGTCGACCGCAGCGGCCAAGAGTGAGAATCTTTTAATGAACTACTGATGTTAAATCAAACTTTGATTCACGTTTCATAGTAAAATAACATTATTTCATTAATGATTAGAGTTTATTTTTCTATTTGGCTCTTTAGTCCAAAATGTTTTGTCAAAGTGAAAAATGAATTGTCATGTTGTGATGTAATGGTTTCTATTTTTATAAGTTGTGTGACAGTAAAATCAAAAAGTTTTATGAAACATCATCGATTAGATCATTTTACTTTCACTTGAAAACAAATCACAAGAATTAAAATTGGTGTTTTAATTGTTTTAAAGAAAAGTTCAATCTTAACTCAAGTAAACGTGTGTGTGTGTGTGTGTGTGTGTGTGTGTGTGTGTGT